ACCAACACTCCCACCAGATGTGGAGCTTCTCTTAGTATATCAGGCCGCATTCCTCCCGTCCGGCCAAGGTGCCCCTTTAGACAGGCGAATCGGCAAGTACTGCTGCCTGCCTGCAGCACGGACTCTTACATCAAGCGCCCATACTGCTCCCCTGCTCATAGGATCCTGTGGTCTCTTCAAGGAAATCTGCAGAGGAGCTGGGAAAACAATTCATCAAAGTAGCTGCCACTACGCTGCCCTCGTGCGACTCACCCTGGAAGCAGGTGAGAGATTTGTGGCATGGGCATATCCGGGTATCCCCTGAAACCCCAAGCTCGCCCACCCACACCGACAAGGATCCTTCCTACCAGCCATCTTTAACCTGTACACTGAGGACTGAAAAAGGCAAATGCCCCCGGTCTTGCCTCTCTCCTGTACGTTCTGGTTAGGTCAACCGTGTAGGGCTGGAGGCCGAGCTTGCCCTCTCGTGTGGCATGGCACAAACTCGTAACGGGTCCCTGGAAGTCCTCACCCACTTACCTTGAATCCATCCTCATTTACCAGCTCTTCCAGGAGAGATGAGCTCTTCCCCCCAATTCCTTCCAGCCCTACTCTTCTTAATATCCCAAATACGTGTTTGGTCAATTTCTGATTTTGCTCCAGTGATGTGGACCTTGCAGGAGGTCCTCAGCATCCCAGACTCTGCTATCACTCAGCATCTCTTTGGGGCATTATCCTTACCTCCTGGATGACCTTGGGCAGGTATGTAGCGACCTTGAGACACAACAGTCCATGCACATTGCCTACTTTCCTGTATGTTTGCAGTTCTAAACCAAAGTTGGTTCTTCAGTGGTGACAACTGGAAGCCATTTGATACAAATTAGGTTGTAAATGTCTTGGGCCAAGGCCCCGCCTTAGCTAACGCCTCAGGAAATGTGGCTATCCTGGCAACTTAGCTGCACTACATTCTGAGCCTCCTTGGTGCTGCGCCGCCCATGGGCCACTCCCCGGTGACTAATGCTGTTGAGCAACATTTCATCTTACTGAGTATTTTTCCATCTCCTGGGAAGTGTATCTTCAAACCTTTTGACCATTTTAATGCTTATTATTGACTTGTGAGAATTATTTATATATTCTTTACATATAAAGTCTATCATCAGAATGTTTTGTGAATATTTTCTTCCAGTCTATGGTGTATCTGTTCATTTTTTAAGTGGTATCTTTCAGTGAGCAGAAAATTTTAATTGTAATGAAGTCTAATATCAGTTTTGTCCTTTGGAGCTAGTGCTTTCTGTGTCCTAAGAAATTATGCCCATGTCAGAGTTATAAAAATATTTTTCTACAATTTCTTCTAAAAGCTTTAATGTCTTAGCTTTTATGCCTAGGTCTGTGATCCATGTTAAATTAATTTTATGCATGGTGTGAGGTAGGGTGTCAAAGCTTATTTTTATTTTGTTAAAAAGAGCTTTCTTTTCCCCACTGAATTACCTTGACACTTTTGTTGAAAACAAATTGAATGTACATTTATAACAGAGTCTATTTTTAGACTTTGTTCTGTTCCATTGACCTATTTATCTAACCTTATGCCAATTCAACAGTTTGGATTACTGTATCTTTATAGCAAGTCTTAAAATTAGAGAGTATATACACTCTCTAAGTTCATTTTCCTCTGTCTTGGCTGTTCTAGGAATTTTGTATCTCCGTATCATTTTAGAATCAGCTAATTTCAACAAAAACAAAGCCTGTTGGGGTTTGAACTAGAAATGTACGGAATTTACAGATCTCTTTGGGAAAAGCAGGCATCTTAACAATATTGAGCACATCTCTCCGTTTATTTAGGTCTTCTTCAATTTTTATATGCAATATTTTGTAGTTTACAATGTCAAGGTCTTACACAGTTTTTGCTCATATACTTTCTAAGTATTTTATGCTTCCTGATGTCACTATAAATGGCATTGCTTTTCATTATTTTAATATTAAATTTAGTATTTAATGATCATTGCCAGTATGTAGAAACTTAACTGATTTTTGTATATTGGCTTTCTGTCCCATGACCGTGATAAATTTGCATATTAGTTCTCACAGATTTTTTGTAGATGCCTTAGAATTTTCTACATATTCAATCTTGTTTTCTGCAAATACAGCTTTATTTCCTGCTTTTCAATCTTTCGGCCATTTCTTTTTCTTGCCCTACTGCACTGGTATAACCTCCTCTTGAAAAGCAGTTATGAAAATCTGTCTTATGCATATTCCGTTTTCCCTTTTGTATAGTTCTATTTTGGCCTCCAAAAACCTGAGTCTTCTTTGAAGTATTTTCCTCATCTTTGTCCTCCAGAATTAGAAAAGAATACTTTTCCCACTCTCCCACTTCCTATGGGGAGGGGTTTCCTCTAACTAGGCCTGGCTAGTTGAGCAGGTGGACAGTTACCTGGCCTGTGAGTCTGGGTTAGGAATCTGGCAAGTGATGGCTCCCCCGTCCTTGGAAGCCAGCCTGCCTGCAGGAAATGTGTGCATGCTCGCCCATAGCCACGCAGTAAGCTCAGCGCTACAGGCTCTGTCCGCGCCTCCGAGAGCTGATGAGTCCAGCATCCCCGGGACCAGGTGAGCCTGCTTCCTTTGAGGCACAGTCAGCAGGCCCTCTGGCTCGGACCCTGAGCCACATGCTCTGACTTCGCCTTTCACAGCACAGGTTTGCACACCGGCTCTCAGCTGTGGTGTCCCTGTGTGATGCCCTCGTTTGTCTGGCACTCAGAAGGGAAAGAGGGGCGCCACTTACTGGGACCTCTCCAGGCTCCCCAGTCGGACTTCCCCAGCTTATCTCCTACTATTGTCTAATGCGCTGTCCTCTCTCATCTAAAGCACTTTTCTCAATTTCCACTTTACCCAAGAATCGTTTGAGGGGCTTTTAAAAAATACCAAGGCCCCATCCTACCCCCAGCAATTCAAATCAAAATTAGGGGTGAAAGCTAGACATCTGATTTTTAGATCTGTTCAGAGTCCGACACACAGGAGGAGCTGAGAGCCACTTCTCCAGCCATCCTGCGATGTCCCTCGCTTGCTCTAGGTCCTCAGTTCTGGAGCCAGCTAATTCCTGAGACTGAGACATGGAGGTTAGTCTTTTTATGATGAAACAGAAGCCCCTTTTCATCTGATAAAAAAGCCCACCACCCTTCTCTAGGAAAAGCTGCATCTATCCCCAAACTGACATAATGTAACTAGCATGTGTGGAGATGAGGGCCACAGATGATAATTCAGAGAAATCATGGGTCACTCTGCCTTGGACCTGGATAGATAATCAACACCTACCATCCAAGAGGGGAGATACCCTAAGGGCTGCTAGGCCGAGCTGGTGAGACACAGGAGTGCAAGCCAAAAACTGTTCACTGCATCAATGTCTGGCCAGCTGAACACAGGAGCCACTCAGAAGTGGGCCTTAACAGGAACGATAGGAAGCCGCCACAGTTGAAGACACCGGCCTCCCCCACTGAAGTCCAGACATGTGCCCCAGCCCACTGTGCGCCTCTCCTCTGTGCCAGGGTAACCCCTGGATGCCTCCCGCCTTGTTCTCAAAGTTCCTGCACAAACAAGCAGATGCTGGCCTTTGAAGAGACCAATAAGAACCAGTTGAAAAATAAGACAAAAGATAAGAACTATGGAAAGCAAAATACCTCACTGCTGGAGAAAGGGACATTGGGGAAGGTGGCTCAGATCTCTGGACAAGAGGGCTTCCTCACCCTGAACCCTGCTGTCAGACACCCACCCAGCCAGTCCCAGGAGCCCCCGGACTGCCTTGGACCCCACCGTGGTGCAGGATCCTCACCACTAAGCACATGGCATGGCCCAGACAGACTCAGAACGCGTGCTCTCTGCAGACTGGCTGGTCCTCAGGGCAGGGGGGCAGGAAGGGACCGGCTGACACAGGACCTCAAGGATCAGACGGTCCCTAGGCTGTGGGGCGCAGAGAGGAAGGGGTGCTGTACTCACAGAGTTCCTCAGGAGGTCAACTCAAGACCCCTCTAACAACAAGGAAAAATTAAAAGTGGCACAGTATTTACAAATAAAACTTAAATCCAATGGAAATGAGTTTCAAAGTGTAAAACAAATAACTTTCACGTGATTGAAATAAAGGCTACACTGCAAATTTCATATGTACCTACAGAGGAGGGAGGAAGTTAGACAAAAGCCCAACAAAATGGATGAAAAGGTAATGGATGAGTTATAAAGTAAAAATATAAAGTCTGAAGTTTAGATACCTAGGTAAATGAGAAAAAAAGGGAGCAAATAGTTAAAAACGAAATATGGAATGAGTATCTAACACAACAAAGGCATATGGAAAATTCCAGACCCCCCAGAAAGAGACCTTGGGCCTCCCATTTAGGTGCAAATCCCTGGTCCCATCTACTGCGCCTGCCTCTCCAGCCTCAGGGAACCACAAACCCTTCCAGCTCACCGCCAGGCCGCGATCTTTGAGTCTCCTCCTGGGCAGCCCTCTGTCCACTGACACACGTCCCATTTCAGTTCCTTTAACGGCATCACGTGCCCCTAATTAATATATTTGTTGACATTATCCCTAAGGTTTAGTCTACAACTCTCGGTTAACTGCAATCACGCTTATTTCCCAAGCAATATACCAAAGCGTATTATGGGCATTGAGAGCGGTTCTGGGTCTCTCATTCCCTTGGATAAATTTCTAACGTGGCCGCTGGAGAATAAAAGATGGCAGGGTATGGAAAAGAACGATTTTGTGAAGCTACGTGTACAAACACATACTAGGAGAGGTCGGACACGAGAGAGGTGGCGAACAGGGCATGGAAGAGAGATGATTTGAGTTAGGATCCCAGCTATGCCACTTAGAAGCTGTGGCCTGTGGGCAGCTTACATAACCTCACGTGTCTTTTCTGAAAAGTGGTCATCCTAAGACCTGCTTCAGATGGTTGTTATGGGGAATAAATGAGTTTATTTATACAAAATGCTTAGAACAGCACCTGGCACATAGTAAGCATTCAATAAATGTTAGCCATTATTATTATTTTATTACAGACACTATGTGTACAACTGTTTGGAAAAGAGGTGTGTGCTGGGGGAAGGCGGCAAAGGAAAGTGCCCAGATATGTTAGAAATTTAATGATGTACTAAGGACTCAAAGACTGAAGTTTTGGTCACCTTTACAAACACTCCGGCCTCTGGACATTTATCACAAATGGCCATGAACATCACTGCACGTCCGAGACTTGGGGGTCAGCAGGCAACGATCTGACTCCACACCCTGCCTCTGACCCACTCAGCTGTTTGACCCTGGGCAAGCCATTCCGTGAGCTGTTCTGCACAGGGGAGGTGATCCTGCCCCGTCCCAGTGGGACTGCCGAGGGCCCTGGTGGGCCAGAGTCCGTGACAGGCACACATCCCGAGTGAGGCCAGCGGCTGGTTCCCTGGACCTAGACCACCCTGCTCCTGGTACTCAACCCAACTCCTGGCCACGCCGCTTCCTGAGCATCCGTAACAGGACTTGCTTGGAAAACCTCCCCAGCGCTTGGCAGCCTAAGAGGGTTGGGTGAGCCTCTTCTGGACATGAACCTGACAGTACGTGGGAGGGTTTCCCGTCCCTGAACTGGAGGGAGGGAGCTGGAGAGCCGAGGCCCTCTCAGACCTGCCGACCGGGTCGGGAGCAAGCGTCTAGGCAACACACTCAGCCCCCGTCAGCCGTGGGGTACAGGAGTCTGCCCCCCAACAACTTCCAAATCAGTCCCGCATTAGGGACGACAGGCCTTTGGCCAAGACAGTGTGTCATGTTTATTGGGCTTTTCACAGGTCAGCTAAAACGCCGTGAAGGAAGCAGACTGGATGCCATCAGTAACGTCAGGAAACCAAATAGTCACCACTCCTGAGTTTCGGGTTTTGCATTCCAGGGAACCTGGGCGATTCGCTGACATGACTGCCACGGGCACAGCTGGTTTTTAGCAACAAAAGCACATACATTCATTTCACCAATGACTTTAGGACAATAAGCAAAAAAGAAAACTATATTTTCATGTAGCTAAGAAGATCATTTATACAAATTAAAATTGATAGAAAATACATTATAAAGAGAACACACACACACAAAAGTCATTAAGTTGGTCAAACAGCACGGATGTCACAGAACACCACAAAGAGGAACACGGTGTGAATTCATTTCCGTTGCAAAAGTCCGTCCCAAGTTTGAGTTACACACTTACTGAGGTAAAGGCACCATAACTTCAACGTAATTAATGGGGAAGAATCCAGATTCCCCGCGCAGCATCCCCTCGTACCAGTTCTCGTCTATCTGGTTGGTCAGTGTGATGACGTCCCCTTCTTTAAATCCCAGCTCCCCTGGGTTTTCGGGCTCAAAGTCATAGAGTCCCCGACAGCAGGGCTGGTCCTCTAGCACGTTAGAACCTGTCCACGTCGAACGGAGACAAAACGTCCAGGTTAGCATGACAGGCGCCCCCGGGGGAACTGGAAGGGCGGGACCTGCAGGGATCGGGACCAGCAGGCCCCCTCTTCCTTCCCGCCCGGCTCGCGAGCCGGGTGCCCGTGGCCGCCCCGCGCCAATGATGCCCTGGCTGAGCCCCTGGGCCCCGGCCTAGCTCCCTGCAGGCTCCTCAGCGCTGCCCGGGGCCCACGGGAGAGGCAGGCTAGCAAGGCCCAGGCCCTGCCCGCAGGGAGCTCCTGGTTTCTTTGTGGCGACTGGACGATACATGGGGAACATTTAAAGGACGAAGGTGAGGTGGGGAGCCCCTTATAGTTCAGAAGCTCAAAGGAGAAACGAGGAGGAAAGGCCTAGGCGGTCGGGGACATCTTCCCAGCGCTGGTGACCAGGAGCTGGAGCGTGGCGGGTGTGATGCTGGAGACGCACGAGCGGGAAGTCACGCACCAGCCTGGTGTCTTGGGGCTGGTGCACGAAGCCACGGGTTCTCGGAGTAGCACTCTTTAAGTAATTATTTTTTAATGTGAACTAATTTTACGTTAAACTGATTTTGAACATAAATTAATTTTAACATAATACACGGTAATGGTGAAAAAAAAAAAGGAAGAAAGAAGAAAAAGACATGTACACAAAATTGAAGAAAGTCAACTGTAACCCACTAACCCAGAAATAGCCATTGTTAAATTAACATGTCGGCGTAGAAGCTTCCAGATGCTCTTATGAATATATTTGAGTATTTACATACAGTTGTTTTCAGAAAAGAATCCTCCTATACATATTATTGTGAATATCTCTCCAGATTGCATTTAATTACAGGGCCAATAATGAACTATACCACTGTGACATAATTTCTTAAGCCAATCTCCTATTGTTGGATATATAAGGCCCTTCCTCTTCCCCACCCTCTTTTCTTCATTCTGTCTTTTTCTTTTGTTCTCTCTTGGCCTTCACAGCTAACCCCTTGAACGACATCCTAATATATGTGAATTTTCCTGAGGGTAAACGTCTAGAAGGGAATTTGCTATTCACAGGGCATTTTTCCAAGACACATAACATTTACTGTCAATTTATCTTTCTAATCTTTATTGCCCTCAGAGTTTTAGGAGCCTCTTTTATACTCAAGTATGAATGCTTTATCGGTCATGTTTGGTACAGGCAGTCTTCCCAGCCTATTATCTGTTTCTGTTTTGTTTTGCTTTGTTTTTCATTTTGCTTTCAGTGTGTGCTGAGGCTGGGCGGGGAAGGAGCGTCCGCTCTGCTTCGGCATAACCTACACAAATCATACACGGCGTGTGCAAATTCATCAGTTTTCACTCATGGTTTCTCTCCTACATTTACATATAAATATTCAGCTAAATTTATCCTAGAAATTATTTGATTTTTTCATGTGAAAAATTTTACTTTTAACCCAGCTGAATTTTACCTGAGAGGTATTATTTCTTGTTAATAATGCTTAAATGGTTAGCAACACAACTTATTAAATAATCCGTTCTTTCTCCGATGATTTCAAACACTATTTTTATCTTTGTCGTATGTTTGTCGTATGCAGTTAGAGGTATTTTAAGCTCTTCTACTTTGTTCCACTGATCCATTTAGGTAACTGATCTGAAGTCCTATTCTCATGAAATCATTCAACCAGGTAAACTTTAGTATCAATGATTGGAGTTCCCACACACACAAAAAAATACTTCATTTTGATTTTAACTGGGTCATTTTTTAAAATATTAATCAGATTAACTTTAGACTAATTTTAAAATGAATGACAACCACTACATGCCCCGCAGGAAGCGTACCTGCTCATGCATCATACTTTTATCTTGTAGCTACACTGGATTTGCTACTATTTAAGACTTGTGCATCTACATTTAAAAATAAAATTGCTTTCCTTTTAAATTCTGGTCAAGTTTTGGTATCTGAGCATGTCAGCTCTATAATTTTATAGAGCTTTTTTCTTCTACTTTCTAAAATATTCAAATTCGAAGATTTGGGGGAAAAACTGCCCCAAATCATCGAGGCCTGTGGACCTCTGAGCCTAGAACGCTTTCCAGAACAGCTTATGATAGTGACTTAAGTGTGTCTGGGAAGTAGATGTGCTCACCCCACTCCTGTCCCCAACAGGCCCTAAAGGGGACACCAGCCTCTATGGTCCCATGTAGGGGAGCCAAAGACAAGAGGATGAGGGGCTGCCCAGCCCAGTGGGGTCACGGGCGTGGACCACCTGTGTGCGCCTGTGACTGTCCCTGAGAAGATGGGGCTAGAGGGGAGCTAAATGCCACCCCAGGGAAACCACGCCCCCGCTACCCGGGGACCAGCATGCAGACAGAGGCCACCACCGTTGGTGTCGGTGGCCAGGCCTGCAGGAGAGCAGGGGAGCCCCACCCCTGCCACGGCCAAGTGCTCGCGGCCTCATTCCGTCGGCCAGCAGAGTGAGGCCCGAGGGGCAGGATGGCGCAGTCCCTGGGCTGGACCATGCCAGCCTCTTGTCCTTTTGGGAGGGAGCCTCATCCTTTCACACGATGGAAATGCCTGCGTGTTGTCCTACTTCGCCATTTTACGCTATGGCTGCCATTTTTATTTCCTTTATCTTTTACTATGACACATTCATGTTCCCCCCCTCTCTAGATTTCAACGGAGAGCTCAGACAAGGCCTGCTCAAGACCTGTGTTCCTTCCTCGCCGCGTCCCCCGGGTCCAAGCAGGGCGGACAGAGCCGGTGTCCCCGCGGGTGGAGTGAGGTGGGGCAGGGAGGCGGTGGCACTCCCAGAGTGGCACCCTGTCTCCGACCGGGCAGCCCTCCTGTAACCCTCCGGGCACCGTCCACACCCAGGGGTGAGAACCAAGCCCCCTCCCTCAGGGGGTGTCTCCCAGTGGGGCCCCAGCAGGACCAGGCAACATGATGCATGCCCACTGGCCGCCTGGTTCTACACGACGAACTGGAACACGGCCACCTCCCCTCACACTCCCTCCACGCCACCTCTCTCCCGAGGCCACCGCCTGGACAGACCCCTGTGAGGCCCCTGACGCAGTGGGGGCAGGTGCACCTGGCTCTCCAGCCACCCCTGCACCGCCCCTCCAGAGCACGATTCTCAGCAGCACAGCCCAGGGGAACCTACACCTCCCGGAGCCCGGCTGTCATTCCCGGGGCCTCCCTCTGCTCAGGGGAGGTGGCACCCGCACGTGAACAAAGCTGTCAGTGGGTAGCAACTGATGTCCAAAATAATGCCATTTCAGGTGTGAAGTGGTACAAAAAACAAGGCCTCGGGTTTCATGCCAGCCCCAAGTAGGCGTTTCTGAGATGTGAGAGGCACAGAGACAGAGCAGCTTCTGGGTTCCCAGAACCAGAGGCCGAAGAACTCAGAGCGCAGGAATTCTGCCCCAAGCCGCCGAGAGGGAAGAGCTGCTCCTGCTGCCCGGAGAAGAGAATGAGCCTTCCCGGGGCTGGGAGGGTCTTAAAGAGGATGGTCAAGAGGGCTGAACTGCTGCTCCCCAAAACCCCCCAGGCACGGGGTCTACGGCCCCACTCAGCCCTGAACTCGGGCAGAAGGCGGGCTCCCGAAGTGCCCTAGACCAACCAGGGGGGTGGGCACAGTGGAAATGATGGGGCAGGTGACCAGAGAGGGACCCTGAGGGAACAGGGGCGACCCTGGCTCCCCATGAACCGGGGGCCCCAGCAGGAAGCGAGGAGACGCTCGGGGGACATTGAACCAGAGATGCCGGGGGTCGGCACACAAGCTCAGCAGGCGGAGGCCTGACAGCCCCAGGGGCCTGCGGGGGTGAGTTACTCGCTGTGAAAGCAGTTGGGAGCCAAACACACGTCCTCACCTGCCACCACAGTGGCCCAGGCGTCCCCGTGTGCCCCGGCAGCATCTCGCGGGACAGAACCTTTGAGGAAAACCAACAGGGCCGACGGGGGACTTCAGCCGAACTGACTGGGTTTGAATCCTGAATCGACAGAGTAATGAGTGGACCATCTACATTTTCTATGGAAAGAGACTGAATTACCTTGAAATGGCAAGATTACGTTTTTTTCCACTATTAGAAGAAATGGAAAAAAGATTAATTTTTTTTTTTGAGCCAACAGCAGAAATGGAAAAAAGATCAAGTTGTTTCCACCACTGGTTCAAATGGAGGCTCATGAGCAAGTTCAGTCCAGTTAAAGAGAAGTGAGGCCTCTGCCCACGCGTCTGCCAAGGGCCCGTGGATGGAATCCACAGGTCCGGGCAGGACAGGCCACACCTCCTCTGCGGGCTTCTAACAACAGGACACGAACACCTGCAGGTGCCCGGATGCCCAGCTTCCCATGGGCTGGGGTCAAAATCTTCCCTGGGAACGGCGGGTCCCGCCCAGGGTCGCCCACGTGCTGCCAGCCGACCCCTGCTCTCCCAGGGGCTGCAGAGGCTGCCCCTTGTGCCCCCCCCCCCGCCTCCCTGCTCTCTGGTGCCCGGAGGCTGGCACATGCCCGCGGGTGACATGGGCGTGAGCGCTGCAGGCCGGGCAGCCCCACCCCACGCCGTGCTGCCCTGCGAGGAGGCGGCCTCCTCCTGCCCTGGCCCAGAGGCCAGGCTCCGTTTCTTCTGCTCCTGAGACCTGGCTTAGCGTAACATGAGAGCAGAGGTGGGAAAAACACAGTCTTCCTTGTTAAAGCACTGAAACAAAGATTATTTTAACAGAGAAAAGGGGCTGTGCCTGTTAAATATTTACTCTTCAAGCTCTGTTCCACACCATTAGGGGAGGAAAACAAGGAGACCCCGACACAGAGCTTGAGGTGGCTGGGTAGGAAGTACTGCACGGGCAGCAAGCTACAGGTGGGGAAATCGCACCCTCCCTAAAATAAATGCCCCTTCCCTCTTGGCAAAAATATGGTCCAGTTTCTAACAATATTGTGTGCGCTCTTATTTTAATAACAGGAAAATTCTTAGGCGCGCCCTTGCCTCCTCATCCTATCCCCCCGCACAAAGGGCGCTTCACGT